CCGTAAAGTCCCTTTAAACCTGTAGGCTGCACAGTGCCACAGTGGTTAGAGCTGTTGCCTTGCAGCGAGAAAGACCTGGGTTCGCTTCCCAGCCTGGGATCTTTCTGCATGGAGTTTGCATGTTCCCCCTGTGCATGCGTGGGTTCTCTTTGGGTACTCCGGCTTCCTCTCACTGTCCAAAAACATGAGCAGCGATGAGGACACGGTGGAGCCTAAAATGGGCTGTGAGTCATTCTTTGGATGACAGAGGGAGTGACTGTTTCGAGCTGCTGGACGCGGTACACAGGTGACGGGGGAGGGGTCGATCGCAGCCGCGTCCTGAGCATCGGCCACAGTGACATTCTCAATGTCGTGTCTCTAAAAGAATACATTTAAGACTGGATTGTTCATGTCCACGCATACTCTCTGGTACTTTCTGTCTTGCTTTTGACTGGTGCGCTCTGCTGCAGCAGAGCTCAAAACCTGAGCTCCGGTGACTTCACCTCACTGGCGCGGCGCTTCACTATTGTTGTGTTCGGTAGATCCCTTTGAACTGCTTTATAAGCAGCTCATGAGGTAAAAAGTGGGAAAGCCAGGCAACAGTTTTTCTGGAGGACTGAGAGGACGATAGGCAAAAGAAAGGATTGGAAAAAAGTCAAATTAAAAACAAGAAAACAAAACCAAGTGCTTGAAAAATAAAAGGTACGTAACTTTACCCCCACTGCACATTTTAACTGTATAGCGCATCAGTGTATAAGCATGTAATATTTATATATTTGATACAGTTCAGAGCGCCATCAAAACTCTGTCCCACACCCAGGGCTGTGTTTTGGAACAATTTGATAATTATTACCCTGATGACAGCAAAACAAGCTGTTAAATGTAAGAAATGTTGAAGTCAGGGTATTTTATCAAGGCATCAATTATTTTTCATTTAGAACAAACCAAACCAAACCAAAACAAAACAATCATTCATCCATATTCTTACCTTTTTGAAATATTTCTCCTCTCTTTTTATTGTTCGCTGCCTTCATCCACGGATCCAGACTTCAGACTCTGGGCTGCTCTCCTCCTCTCTAGCCTTCCCTGTTCTTGTAATGAAACGCTCAGTAGGAGAGGAGTTTGTGCCTTTCTTTTTCTTCTTCAGAAAAAAAAGCTCCTTTTATAGACACGTGAAGTGCTGAGGAGCATCAAGTCTCAAGGCCTTTGGCTGTGATTGAGGTGAGGCTTCGACTGCTCCTCTTTAACTCAGGAGGAGGGTGTGTGGTTTCGTAAATGACCCCCCACCTTGTTTCTCATCAATGCTGCAGGTTACCTTCAACAGAATATTGATCCAGCATTTGCAAAGTCTTCAAATGTCCCAAATGGGCGATTTTTTTAAAATTAACATTTAATTTTGATCATGAAGTGTTTAACTGAAGCTGCTTTTTATTGAATTCTTGACAGTTAAGGTCATAAACCTTTAAGAAAAGCCAAAAAGACTCCTGCTTTAACACTAACAGCATCTTTTGGAATCAGCTCGAACAATTCTATCGTTTTTCCTGTGGGGACCTCGCTGTGCATGTCTCTCAGTGTGGAAACTTCATTAGGAGGGCCTGACTCACCCTGCTGACGTCTCACACACACGCACACGTTCCATTCACTTGTTAAGTGTTCGACACCCTCGCCAGAATAAAGTATATAATAATTATTATTCGTTTAAGGACAAGCGAGCCATACAACCATATGAAGAAAGCATCATCTAAGAGTTTTCTTTCATCCCTCGCCTGTGGATTTGAATCGACGTGACCATGGATGAAGAACATCTAGTTATTCAAGGGCTTGTGTTTTCTGTTTCCATCACTCGTCTCTCATCTCATCGTCCCTGTTGCTGATTATTCTGAACAGAACTTCTAATAACCTTGAATGTACTTGTGTTTGAATGATTTAGAGCTCCTCTGTCATTCATTTGAACCACTTGACCCTTTTTTCCTGACTAAACATCAACGCATGCACTAATGAAGATTTTTATGAATGCATAAGATTGTATTCGTGTATTTATTATATTTTTTGTGCAGTACTTTAGTACTTTTTTGGAGGTATTCTAAAAAAATTAGAGTGGACAATAAACCCTTCATATCTTTATCTGGGGCAAAATTCAATGAATGAGGCTTAGCAACGCACCCACAAGGTAGGATGACCTTGGCTCACACCATCAAATCCCACATCAGGTACTTCAAGAGAAACAGTTCTGATTCTGAGTCAGACACGAGGCTGCCTCTGCCTAAACGATGGACCCGTTCAATCACAGAGCAGCAAAACTCTGTCCAGCTTCCACAGATTTCAAGTTTTTTTAGAGCTCAGAAGGAAAGCTATGGAAAATCAGAAATCAGAGTAGTTAAATAAAATAAAAAAATACATATTTACAGGTGAAACATACTTTTTTTTATACCAATGATCAAGTGTGTAAATCATCATCCAAAAATAAAAGGGCATTTTTAGGTGTTTCTGTTGATTCTTTCTGCTGTGAACAATGAAATCCACAAGAGGCTGCAGTTTGTCCACAAACATCATCTTCACCCTGGTGGCGGGAAATTTTTAGTTATTCCTGTGTGTGAAAATAAATTCAGCAAATCTGGATTACTGTCAATTACAATTGCTTATTTATGCTGTCAGTATGTTTTCTCCTGTGTAGATATGTTTTTATAAAACAACTGAAATCCATGTTGCCTTTTAGAAGGTCATTTATTGAACCAATTATAGATTAAAGAGAGTTATTAGCAATAACCATGACGTTTTGTCTGTGGATAAATATACACTGTAAAAAAAGTCCAGTGAACTTAAAAAAGTAAAGCAACCAGTTGCAATACAATTTTAAGTTCAGTCAACTTTTTAGGTGCTTGCTTTTCTGTATTAACTTGACATTTTGCAAGTTAAAACGTTCAGCTGACTTAAAACTTTAAACTCTCCAAACAAATTGCAAGTTGTATTTTTAACAGAGTATAAAAATAAATAAAAACTGTGGACATATTTGCATATAAGTGGGCTTGTGTGTAGCATAAATGTAGCTCGTGCATATTAATCGCTGTAAATCATTCTAAAGACAGAGCGGGACGAGGTCTCCTTTGTTCCAGTCTCCTCCGTGGCCCCCTGGAAAACCATTAAACCAGGAGGACTTCTCCCAGGAGCCCGGCATTCTTCGGATTCCTCTGGTCTGATGTCAGAGGAGAAAGAGGCGTCTGGACCTGTTGCTGCGTTCACGGCCCGCTCTGAGGCTGCGATACCTGAGCTCTGCCGAGGTAGGATGATAAACCTCAATCACAGAACTTCTTTTGGAATTACAACAAGTCGCTAATGGGCAAAACGATATATAAAACTATTATAATAATATATTTTCCATTTTGACAAATGTAGTAGGGATCGATGGGCTAACGGCTAGTCTTAGCCAAGACTGCTTCTGCAAAAGCAACTTTAATCATCAGACTTTCACAGTTTTGTGCAGCATAAGTTTATAAACTATCAGGTTTGCATTACATCTTTTTGCATGGACTTTTGTGGCCATTCAGAACCTGCAGCAGCAAAACATTCACGTGTAATTTTTGACCCAACATAAATACTTTCAAAATTGAGCGTAAAGGTGCAATACTGTAGGTTGTAATCAGAGATAATAAACAAACAAATAAAACCACTTGATTGTTTATCTTTCAAACTTTTCCTAACAATTAAGAAGCATGTGTGTTTTTTTCCGTTCATATTAGTGTTTATGTTGATAACACGTCTAAAATAACTAACCTTTAATTAAAGAAGCCAAAACTTTTTAGGTTTTTTGGGGGGGGGTGGGGGGTGGGGGGGTGGGGGGGAATGTACCTTTTGTCAAAGGAATGTTAGTAATTATTAGCAAAGTGAATGTATAAGTAATCCATCCATCCACCCATCCATCCTACATTCATATACTGTATCATTGCCATTTGTTGTTCATACACACATTGCGCTATAACAGGGATATGTTGCAACTTTTTATATATAAACCCACATACTGAACATAAATTAGGTTTATGTGTTTGAGGTTTATGTTTTAAGGGGCAAGATTAGAGAAAACATACAGAAAACAAAAGTCTTAGAAATCTTTGATTATCTTATTTTTTTCATTCATGTATTTATTTGCTTTTTAATTAGTTGAATAAAAATGGAAATTGCATTAGAAATGGGATTTGTTTTGCATTGCTGACTTTGAAAAGATTATTCATATATCTTCATCCTGTGCTTTTTCCACCGCGGGCTTCTTTTAAACACGCATCAATTGTCATAATTCCGACCCTCGCTGTGGTACATGAACGCAGCGTGCGCTTCTCTCCGCCTAGCCCGAGCTGGTCCCGAGCGCCTCCATTGGAGCACAAGCTCCGCTACGATCATCACAGCGAGAGGACTTCACCTCGGTGTTGGTGGAACTGCTGCAGGACCTTAAATCAGTTTTCCCAGAAAAAAACTCCATCAGGCCAGAAACCAGCGGCGAGCTGCAGCGTCCGTCTCTTCTGCGACGTGGTTTTCACCTAAACTCATGTGATGCGGTAAGAAGAAACCACCGAGGTTTTCCACGAGATTTTTAAAGTTGCTACATGACTTTATGAGGATTACTTCAACACAGGAAAGCGAAGAAGAGTTTCCTCTACTGGAAGCAGACATCGGCATGTAACGCAGGACGCAAAGGGTGAGCTGTTCAGCTGAAATGACAAAGTTTTCAACTTGAAAAAAAACTTTTTTCCCCCTCAAAAAACCATTTTGGCTTGCTCCCATTAGGCCCCACACCCCCTCACCAAGTAGAAACCCATGAAATAGAATAATAAACCCCACACATTCAAATTTATTTATCTTTTCTAAAACTCTATGCTCATTAGACTCTCAAAGCTATCCCAAAACCACCTCAGGGACGCGATGGGACCTGCTAACATAGAACACCTGGATTCTCTATCGTTTTTAGGGTGTTTGCATCTTAAGGTCACGTGGGCTAATTGAGTTTGTGCAGCTGATGACGTGTTTGTTGCACGCGCACGGTTGCGTTAAAGATACATTTGAACATCACTGACTGTACAGGCAAATATAACACACACACACACACACACACACACACACACACACACACACACACACACACACACACACACACACACACACACACACACACACACACACACACACACACACACACACACACACACACATCTGGCAATCTTTATAAGCTCAAAGGCATTCTGTGCAAATTATATGGTACATGTGAAGTGGAGTACACCCTGGTGGAGAACTTGTGCTGACTTATTCCACTTGCAGCCGTCATCCATGTTTCCTGCAGAAAGATGAACGTCTGATTGTGTTTCATTTAAGTTTTGGATATTCTTCTGCACCCAGTGGGCTGTTTAGTTAAAGGGCAGCGTGGTGAGACGATAATAAGTGTTTACTACATGATGCAAACCTACACTTAAAGGTGAAAGGCAGCCATTGTTTGTGGTAACAGTGGCCATTCGAGTCTAAAGGTCACCTGATTGCTGTATAAAGAAAATCATACCAGTAATTTTGGTCAAGCGGTCATATTGAGGCGCAAGAAAAAGAAATCCAGAGAAAAACAGAGTGTTGCTATTGTTATAAAGGCTTTACTATTGTTTTGGACCACTGCATATTCAGGATGTCAGAAGAAACGAGTCAGAGTGAGAGCTGAAGCAGACATTTGGTGATTCTGTCCAGCCGATACCGACCCAAAGGTGCCAGAACGCGGCCTAATGTGCCAACTCTTATCTCAGAACCTTGTGGTCTTAAGACGTTTTGCAGCAACATTAAAAGTGGAAAACCATCTTAAAGGATAATTGTTTGCTTGTCTGTGAAGATTCCATCCCTTAAGCTTGCAGAAAGCAGCATTTAGTGCAAACAAGGATCATTTTCTAATCTTTCACTTTCAACTCTGCACAGATTTATTTCTACAACCTTCCGGACATCTAAAAAATGATGGTGCATGTTAGAGAACGCAAACGTGTTGTAATGCAACACTTTTTTTAAATAATGCACAATGTTCATGTTGATTTGATCGTGGATCTGGAACAGCCACAAACTGAACATCCTGTCATGTACACATGGCTTCTAGTCTAGATAAGTGATTCACTTATATAGTGGAAACTGCAGAAAGCATCTGTTTTCTCAGTAATTTGGTTTCGTCATTTATTTACTACCTGAAATTGCTAGTTTGTCACATTTTAAATTCAAATGTACCAAAATCAAAGTTATTTCAAAATCTCTCACTGGGGAGAGCTCTGCATTAATTGTACTACTGACAAAACCATATAAAATTAATTTTAATATATTTTTGTTTGTTTTTTGCTTTTGTTTCAATAAATAAATACTTTTAGATCATAAAATGTAGAATCTTGAACAGTAAAAACTAGGATTTCTGGGCTGATACCCGTTCTCGTATAGCTCTTATCGATTCTGATCTGAATAAAAAATAATTTGATCAACAGGATCCAAGTTTTCTTCTTTAACTTTTTAAAAACCTGAGTTTTTTAATGGCTGCTTGGCAATGGGGCATTCAAAGACGGACACAAAAAATTAGGTTTTTGACTTTCTGCTGCTGCAGATTAACCTGACAATGCTGAGTATTTCCTAGTTCTGATGGCGGCCAATTCTTTTCATTTTCAGTTAAAACTAACAAACAAACAAACAAAAGATACAAATGCATTCCTACTCTTAGTTTGCAAAAATACTGTCTGCGCTAAAGAAATGTTCTTAAAATAAACACGTTTTAAATTAAATGAAGCACTAAAGCAGGACTATGTTCCCCAGATCTGGCGAATAAATACTTCCTCTTTGTATTTGTTGTTGCTGGAATGATTTATTTCACCGTTTGTTTAATTTGTTGGTGCTTTTGTGCAGCCTGGTGAAACACAACAACAGAGATGATAGCATGCAGCGACCTGCCAGGTGTTTCGTGTGAGCTGTCAATCACTGCTGCTGGCCCCGTCTCCAGCAGCAGCTCCTCCTCCTTACTGAGTCCCCGTGATGTGTCCCACACACGGAGTCTGTCACGCATTTTACGAGGATATGAGCGGAGACATTTTCCGTTTGATCCAAAGTTTTAAACGTGCAACTTTTCCTCCCCTTTGTTGTCGAGGACACGGCCGGATGGAGCTAAACCAATAAGTTGCTGCTTTCACAGGCCTGTAAAGTCAGTGCCTCTGGCGTTCCTGTCAGTGTTGGTGCCGGAGGGAACATCCTGAGTGGCTTTTTTGGTCACTGAGCATACATGTGTGTGTGTGTGTGTGTGTGTGTGTGTGTGTGTGTGTGTGGAGTGAGTATGGTTGGGTGAGTGTGATGTGGTTCCCAGGAGGGGGGTGGGAGGGTGGTATGGAAAATGTGAGGAGCGACGTGGTTTGGCCGATGGCTGATGGTCCCACGTTTCTGTTGTTGATCACAGTTGCTGCTATCATCATGACCCTCCATGTTTACTCTCTGCAACTGTACCAACACGATAAGAGCCATCTTCTCTGCCCTGTTCTCCAAATCGGAAGCCTTTTGTTTTCTCATCCAGGTTCTGGGAATCACACGCTGCCTCCTACTCTGGAACACTTTCCGATTTATCTGTGAAGTCTTTATCTGCCTCCTGATTTCATCTCTGCAGCATGAGTCGTCAGGGTTGGAAAACCAGCGTAAAGATTGGATTTTTCCCCTCTTCATGTTCTGGTGACGACTGTGCCAACCTGAAACTCCCTTGAGCACAGACCTCTTTTGTTTTCATTGAGTTTTCTTTGGTTTTATGATGATTATAGTTGGCAAGATCTTTGCAAATGCAGTTTGGCTTCTATGCTGTTTATGGAATATACATTTGTTTTAAAGCTGCACAAGTGGATTATGTTATTATGCCTATGTTACAAAATGTGTCATCAGAATTATTTTATCTGTTTTAATGATGATCCATTATGCTTTCTTGTCATTACACACTTGAAACACTCACTTACAGCTGTAGATAACATAAATGTGAATTTGAGACGTTGTTTGCGCTCCATATTGTAAAAAGCATGAACAAAAACGCTTTACAAGGATGCATTTCATTCCTTTCCAAACAAAGCCACTTTTTCTCCTTCTGAAAGCTGAACTCAAAATCATCTTATGGTTGAATTTTAACAAGTGTAAAAGTGGTAGAATGAGGGCAAAACACAGTGGTGATTTCAGACAAGTGTCAAAAATTATGCCTCCTATTAATTAATTAATTTTTTTTAACCAGTGATGGAAGTATTTAATTTTAAGTCAAAGCACAGATTAAGGCTGGGTGAATAATTCAGCCATCGGCAATAGGCCAAGCCCTTTGCCGATCATTTTTATGAGCAATATGTTATGCCTATGAATTAAGGCTTGATAATAAATCAGTAACAAATTGATATATCGATCAATAAACATGTGGTGCAATAGAAAAACAACGGGTCAATAAAAACTTCAAAGTTTCCTTTTTCCATTATAGCCTATCCAGTAGCTTCATACTAGAGTCATTATTTACATCAAAACAATCAAAAACACAGACCCTCTGCATATAACTGAGGTCTAATTATTAACTCACTAATAATCCCATAATTTATTCTGCTATATTGTTCAATCTAAGCCTCTTTTTGTCTTTCTGGGCCTTTTGAAGATGCAATAATCTCACTTCCTCCTTCAGATTGAGGATTTCTTTCTGCTCTAGCCTGACAGGAGAGCTTTCCTGGAAGAAACTGAGTGATTTCTACACAAACGTCACTGACAATTTAATATGTTGGTAATCTTTCTGTCACGTTGTGGGTGTGGAGATGATGGACCAAGTGTGGTGGAGCAGCTCAGGAGGCAAAGATGCAGGTTCGGATAAAGTAAAAATGATTTTAATGACAGAGCGGGAACAGCAGGAACAAACACAACGCTGACAACTAACACAATGATCTGACAAAAACTGATACAAAGAGGGAGGTATAAATACACAGGACAAATGAGGAACACATGGGCAGGTTAACGAGGGGCAGGTGAGAACAATAAGGGCTAATCAGGGCAGGAGAGAGACACAGTCAGGAAGGCAGGGACAGAACGTGACACTTTCTTGTTTGTGCTAGTCTTACTAGTGATGCACCGATATGAAATTTTGGGGCCAATACCAATATTGATGCCGATATATTGTCCATCCTCAGGTCTTCCAGCCTGTTGCTCCTCGAGATCCCGAAGCGTGTTACAAATCATACGGACAAAGAGCTTTCTCTGTTGCGGGTCCTAAACTGTGGAACAAACTTCCAGTCACAGTTCGACTGGCATCCACCTTGGCAGATTTTAAGTCTAGACTAAAGACACACTATTTTACCCTTGCTTTTAACAGTTAGCTGTTAGTTTGGCTTTTACTACTCTTATTTTATCGTCCATTGTAAGGTTTTTATTGGTACTTTTTTATCGGCTTGTCTTTTTTAGTGTTGGCTGTATTTTATAGTACTGTTTTATGTTTTATCTCTATTATTGTGCGACTGTTCAGCACTTTGGTCAGCCGTATAGCTGTGTTTTTAAAGTGCTATATAAATAAAGGTGGTATGGTATGGTATCCATAATTCTCACTAATGGAAAGCACATCGAATTGCCTGTGTATGAAATGTGCTATACAAATGAAGCTGCCTTGCCTTGCCTTGCCTAGAAGTTATTCTTAAAAGTGTGAGGTTTTCCCAG